AAGGCGGTCAGGTTTGATCTGCATCACAAGAACGATAACCAGTCCCAAAGGAGCAGCAATGGCCTCGGGCGCTGGGGGTTCGACAGCTTCTCTCGCCACTTTTCTTGCAGATGGAGAGGGGAGATGATGCCAGCTGAATAGCCATATACAATTACAATTGCCCGATTTGTTTTTAGTCAGGATATTAAATTTATTTGGAATTTTTAAGTCACATTTAAGGAGGGCGTAAGTTAAGAGATTGCAAAATACTGTTGTAGAATAATATCATCGCAAGTGGTTTTTTAAATCTATTTAAAAGTACTTTTTATTTTAAAAAATACAATCATATGTAACAACTCAAGTGTCTGTCAACTGATAAATGGTTGAAATGTGATGTAACCATACAATGGAATATTATTTAGCCATAAAAAAGAATGAGTGCTAAAACATGCTATATCATGGGTGAATGAATCTTAAAAACAGTATGCTAAGTGAAAGAAAACACAAAACAGACCATAGAGTGCTAATACATGCTATATCATGGGCGAATCTTAAAAATGGTATGCTAAGTGAAAGAAAACACAAAACAGACCATATAAATATGAAATATCAAGAACAGGCAAAACTACAGAGACAGCGTTATGATGGTTTTTGGGGGCTGGAGAGGGCTGGGGAGTCACTGCTGTGGGTATGTGTAGGGTTTCTTTTTAGGGTGGTAAAGATGTGTTTGAATTAGTGGTGATAGCTGCACTTTAGCGAATACCCTAAAAACCTCAAATTGTATTCTTTAAAAGGTCTATTTTGTGGTATGTGAATTGTATTGTAATTTTTTAAAAAGTTCTATAGATGTTGAAGTTAGGAGAGGTTTGGCTTCGAGTTTCCTTGGTCATTGGCCCTGCCGAGATTTTGAGGGTTTTGGGTCATCTCCCCTGAGAAACGTACGTGCACATAAAGTTTTGCACGTGTGGTCAGGACGTCACTGACCCTCATGAGAGCCAGCCGTGGACCCAGCTCACCATCCCCGTTGAGAAGGTGGGCATGAGAAGCTGGGGGCCAAGCCTAGCCGTTTGGGCTTGACAACCCTCAAGTATTAATTTTCTAGAAATGGGCAATACTTGGTATTAGTCAGTTACCCTGGGAGTGTAGGCTGCCTGAAGATGACGCCATGCAGCGATGTGCCTTGTCCCCTGTGCCAGCCATGCCACTGCATGTTTCAGGCGCCCTAGGAGAAGCCCTGAGCGCCACAGCCCTGGGGGACCAAGCGCCCTCCACGGTGGACCCCGCGGCGGGGGTGGCCCCGCGCCTGCCCCGTCGGCCTGCCCCGAGAGTCCCCGCCATCAAGAAGCCCACCTTGAGGAGGACCGGGAAGGTAAGACCGGGTAGCGTGAGCCCCTCGCTCCTGAGTCGCTCGATGAGAATCTTGTCTCCGTCAAGTCTGTCTCCGTCCGCGCTCTGAGTCCCCGACGGCGGCCCATCCTTGAGGGGGACGCTTGGCGGGAGCTCTCTGCTTTGTATCCCCGCCACGTCCTGGCTCGAGCTGAGCAGAAAAAGCAGGAATTTCTCATGACACTTCCTGCGTGTCCTAGTCAAGTCCCCACGTCAAACCGCTGTGGGAGGCCTGATGCCAGGTGCTCCTCTAGTCCCCGTCTGCGCGTGGTCTGTGGCGCGTGCGCGTGGTCTGTGGCGCGTGCGCGTGGTCTGTGGCGCGTGCGCGTGGTCTGGCGCGTGCGGTCAGGCGGTCAGGTTTGACGTGGTCTGTGGCGCGTGCGCGTGGTCTGTGGCGCGTGCGCATGCGCGTGCGCGTGGTGTCAGGCGGTCAGGTTTGATCTGCATCACAGGAACGATAACCGGTCCCAAAGGAGCAGCAACGGCCTCGGGCGCTGGAGGTTCGACAGCTTCTCTCGCCACTTTTCTTGCAGATTGTGTTTTGCTCTCGCTCTCAAGCTTCTCAGCCTTGCTTGCTGCTGCAAAGACATGAGTTTGTCAGGACGGTGGCAGCCCAAAGACTGGCACCTCTAGAGGCATCCGGATCTTCCGCTTGATCTCAGTTGTTCTGGTACCGGACACTCGGTAACCCTGGCTGGTCATTGCAGATGACCGCTGCTTTTCCGCCTGTTGGAAGTGTGAGCCGTGCCTCTGGCGCCTCGTTCTTACGGAGCTCGCTTTGTCTCCTCTGTCCAGTGTGGCTGGTGGCATCTGTCATTCCCCATGCCTGCTTGCAAAACAGACCTCTTTCCTCCTCCGCTGCCCTGGGCTCGCTTTGTCTTTTCTCTTAAAAGCCAGGGGCAGAAATGGACTCAGTTTCTCAGCCCGCTGCACGGGCAGCGACCATTGGGATGCTGGAAAACGGACTGTGTTTGCTGTTCGTTTTCTAAAGAACCAAAAGAAATACCAAAAGGCCAATGCTTAAACTGTGGATAGCCGGTTCATCACAAAAGCTGCTTTTCGTACTGTGCAATTGCTTTCTTTGTGATAGTTGTGAATCAGAACCAAGGAAGTGTGTGTGTAAAGTTCCCCATTCTTCCGTATTTAAATATCAAAGATTCAAGGAACAAGTACATCCATTAATCCTTAAATTAGCGTAATGAGATTATTAATGGAAATGACTTCAGCCTAGCGCGGGGCTGCTGTGAATTATCAAAGCTGCGGCCACAGAGTTTCTGAGAAGTTCGCTTTTAATTAGAGAGCATCACCCCATTCCCTAAGGTAACGAAGGAAACCCTGTCTCAGATTATTCCCTGTGACCCTGGTTTTAAAGTTTCCACTCATATTTCATTGGACCTGCTGGTACTACGTGATAAATGTGTGTTTCTCCTGTGCTGTTTCGTACCTGGCCGCATTTCCGCATCCCTGGCATTCTCAAATCTCGAATTTGCTAGAATGTCCGCTGAGCCCCATCTCTACTCTCCTGCTGACACTGTGTGAGTGCTCTCTGATCGCCACCCCCTCAGTGCTGGCTTTTCACTTAGACTCTTTATCGTGTTTTTTCTCAGCCCACGTCACCAGAAGAACCGTTTGGGCAACAGGCTGCTCGTTTTACAATCGAGCCCTTGGAGACAAGCCTCGAAACTCCTCCTCTAGCGACAGCCCCTCCTGTTCCCAAACCAAGAACACTTCAGCCGGGGAGAGATGCCGAGAGGAGGCCAAGCGTCGGAAAGCCAGAGCCATACGATGCCCCTGCGGTGGCCACGACGCCCCTCGTGGAGGTCCCGCCTCTGGTGCCCCAGGTCCCCCCGAGGAGGAAGAAGTCGGCCCCCGCGGCCTTCCACCTGCAGGTTCTGCAGACCAACAGCCAGCTCCTCCAGGGCCTCGCCTGCGGCGGCAGCAACGGTCCCCCCGCACACCAGCCTGACGGGGGCGCTCTCTTTCCACCATCGGCTTTCCTTGGCTCTGCGTCAGCAGCAAGCTCCGAGACCGATGGCCCCCAGGGGACAAAGCCAGAGGCAGCCCCGGCTCTGGGTGATTATCAAGATCCCTTCTGGAGCCTTCTGCAGCACCCTAAACTGTTGAATAATGCCTGGCTTTCCAAGAGCTCTGACCCCCTGGACTCGGGGTCCAGGCACCTCGAAAAGGCACATACAGCCCCGCAGCAAGTCAGTGGTACAGCTGCCGAGGAGCCATCACCAGAGCACAGGCACAAAGACTTCGGTCACTGGGTGGCAGTCAGTGACAAGGACCAGAGGACGGTGCTGCAGGTGTTTGACCCACTGGAGAGAACATGAGTGGGGAGCACCGACAGCCGCCCTCCGCAGAATGCGTGCCTTCTTCCCTCAGGCGGCCCTTTCTAGGGCAAAGCCCATTGGCCTTGACCCCCGGTCAAATGGGACATCCATTTAAAGGCACACTGAAACAACATTTGTGCTCCGGTGACTCTGTGCAGTTCACAAAAGTTGTGTCTTTTATTCAATAAGATTATTACGCAGCCACCGAGATTTGTTTCACTCCAGACTCGTGCGTTGTGAGTTTCCTCTCGGGGCTATGGGAAACCGCCCGTTAGAGTCGGCGGGGTGGCTGTCAGGGCCGGGAACTGGCTGATAATGCCCAGGAAGTTCTCTCCCACCGAATTTTAAGTGGTTGTTCAATATATGTGTGTATGTGATTTTTAAATTTTGTTTGTATTTTGCAGATTTGGAATAATGTTTTGGTGACTCACTTGGAGGTAGATGCATTAAGTAAGGGCTACACCGAGAGGTGGCAGGGACCACTAAGAGCCGTACCTGGCCCTCTGACAGCAGGCTAAAAACATCAGAGTTGGACACAGCCATGGGGTCGACGAGCGCACGCCGCTGTTTGTTCCCTCGTGAGCCCTCGTATGTTGTGTGCGTCAAAAAATAACCTTGCCTGTGAGGCGGCTGTGTCGACAGTGTTCTGGTTCTGAAGCATATACCGTTAGCGTAGCCTGAGCTTAAACCGGCTAGAGACCCCCGCACCCTGTCTCAGACGCCGCATGTCCCAAAAGCTGCCAGTCCTGAGCCCCGGTGTGTGCCACTTAGCCCGGTTTTGATACGCTTTCGATCCCCTATCAAAGGAAACCTTGTGGATTCCTTTTTTTCCCTTATGTCCCATGCCTGGTATAAGCACAAATATGAACGGCCCACCGGCCCACATTCTTGATTCTGTTATAGCAGGACGAATATCTGCTTTAGCCTGGTCTGCCTGGCTATATAGCTTCAGGAAGCAAAATGTCACATGTCCCTATATAGCATTTCTGGGTTTGCTTATCTACATGTTTATTAGGTTTATTTTTTTTTACCTATACATTTTCTATACATTTCCAACATTACTTCTTACCTATTTAATCATTTAAAAAGACATCACTATACTGTTATATATTTTAAAACTGAGTCCATTTGGAGCAAATATATTTTTGCTGATAAGAAATTTACTGGCAGAATCTGAGCGTGTCACATACCGTATTTGGAAGTCTCATAGAATCATACAACAATGATTCCATGCTCTACTCAGTGTGACTGGGGACTTCCTGCACTCAATTCTAATGGTCAGCATGGCAGTGACCGTTTGGGGAAGACCACTCATTCTACCTATCAGACCTCTGGGATTTCAGAGTTATTTCTCATCACCACTATCAAGATACACTGTAGATTATTCAAATCGGGCACTCAAAAACAAAACTACCATGTTTATCTCATTTCATCTGAAAACTGATAAAGAAAAAGGTATTGGTGACCCATAGAGATAAACAGAATACATGTAGTTGACCAGTCATAAAAGATGGTGTTTCTGGCCCACAGTGACGAGGACACCTTCTGCAGGAAGCATTTCATGTCATTTTCCTCTAACACAAGTAAACAACACAATCCTTGCAAGGGTTAGGAGGAGAAAGCAAGCAAGATGCGTTAGAGAGGCTTGGAGAAGTTTAATAATTTGCTGAGATTCACACTGCTTCTAAGGGTACAATTGGGAATGAAAGCGAAGATTTCTTAATTCAAGTGCTCTTTTCTCTGTAACCTGTTTTCCTACCAAAAAGGAGGTGAATTTGAAAGCAGATTTATGTAACCACCAGTCAGAAAAGCAGGGGAAAAGCAGAACCACAACGGTTGCTCACAATGCTGGGAACAGGCTGCCTTTGGGGTTTCTTCTTCGTGCTAAAAAGCCAACAGCCGGTAAACGGTACAGAGAACAGAATTTCAGTTAACATGGCCGCTCATCACAAGCAGCTCTTAAGAATTCGATGGTAAGAAAGCACAGAATCATGCCGACCTCGGGAGGCAGGTCACAAGAAAAGTTACAGGTAGTTTAACATGAAGAATTGAACAAACATCATTTGATCGCGAGCTTTCAAGTTTAGTGAACAACACAGAGGGGACTTAGAGCTGATACTGTGTCAGGTTCTCCCACCACTGTTCTCTTAAAAAAAGACAACTAGAATCGCCTTGTTTTTAAATCGATGCTTAATAGTCGGCGGGTTTCCTGGGTTAGCGGTGTCAGTCGACAATGAGCCGCTGCCATGCTGGGGGTTTCATTCTGTGGTTTTGTATTTTTAATTTTACTTTGACGCTTCCGCACAGGGCTTTTCATTGCGACCTTGCAGTTTATTTCGTGACTTTTCTGTAAGACATTACAGTTCACCGCAGAGACTCATAGGCACAACACTTTACGATTCCACATTGTCTCTGTGACTCCAATTACTATATTCCCTTTTAAAACAGTCTTCTCCAACTTCTTGCCTCTTTTTAAAATTTGTTCCAGTAAATGGCTGAAATTAGGACATCTGCCCAAGCAATTCCCGTAAAAGTTGAACGTTACTGAAGTTCAAGACACTTAATAAAATTCTACCGACATGTATAAGCAAAGTAATGAATTAAAATGTTCTCTTTATAGTGAAGTGATTTCATCAGAAAGGAAAGCTGCAAAAATTATTTATTGACTGACTGGCAATTAATAAAAACCCTGTAATGTGTATTTGAAGTGATCATTTGTACTGAAATTGTATAAATATACCTATTAAATATTTTGTCTTTTTAAAATTATTTGGCTTGTTTCTTTTCAGATATGAAGAGAACCCTTTGGCTAGTCTTCTATTGATGAAATGTGACTACTAGTTACTCCTCTGAGTTTTTGTTTTTGCTTCTTTTTTCAACCATCAGACTAAGTTGAAAAATCGTAAAAGTAATAATTTGATTAAGAATATATTACTTGAATTCTTAATGATGCCAGTAGGGACCACTATGATAACATATATAATAACTTTATGCTACAATGTCTATAAGACTTGAGATGGTATAATTCATTTTCTATAGGGTCTTATAGCAAACTTACAGAATCTTAGTCTGCTAGATTGGTTTGAGTACATTACTGTATTGCAGGCAGGAAAAGGGAGTAAATAATCTTTAGGTTCTGTCTATGTTATCAGCTGATTGACACACAAATATAGATTATAAATGTTCTCTAATGACTTTCCGGAATAAGAATATACTGACAATCTCAAAATAATAAAGATGGCTAGTCCTTCCTGACCAGTAAGTATGATACTGAGTTCATTTATCTGAATGCACAGCCCTGGGACTTGGTCCAGGGGAGGAAATGGCTGGTTACAGTACCTTCCTTCCCAAGGTCGTGGGGGAGAGAGATTTGAAAACTCACTCTTACGAGGCCAACTGTTCATTTCTACAGAGTAACGCCCATCATGAGGTGGGGAGTACCGACGAGATACCGACTGTGAACAGAGGGTCAGGGACAATTTGAGAGAAGAGGATTAAGAATTTGACAAGTAGCGAAAGTGGATCTGTGTACATGGAATGGACGTTAGCTGATGAGAAATAACTTCAGAGGACCTTAAATGAGTTTAGGATTTTATTCTGTAGATAATAGAAGCTGTGGAGTGGAAATCCCTGAATAATCTATGTTAGAGTGGTTAAGATCACAGGTTTTGCCTGAGCAAATAGCTCTTCAAAGCCTGATGGCCATCTGTATGTCTTTGGAAAAATCTCCATGCAGTTCCTCTGCCCATTTTTAAATCAGATTGTTAGATTTTTGGTATTGTGAGTTCTTTATATATTTTGGATCCTAACCCTTTATCAGATACATGACTTGCTAATATTTCTTCCCATTCCTTAGTTTGCCTTTCTTTGTTGATAGTTTCCTTTGCCATGAAGAAGCTTATTAGTTCGATGTAGTCCCAATTGTTTTTTATTTTGTTGCCTTTGCTTTTGGTGTCAATTAAAAAAAAAAAATCATTGCCAAGACCAATGTCAAGGAACTTACCCACGATACTTCCTTCTAGCACTTTTATGGTTTTAGGACTTACATTCAAATCTTTAATCCATTTTGAGTTGATTTTTGTATATGGTATAGAGAGTGGTCCATTTCCTTTCTGTTTTTGTGTGTATCTGTCCAGTTTTCCAAACACCATTTATTGAAGAGACTATCCTTTCCCCATTGTATATTCTTGGCTCTTTTGTCGTAAGTTAATTAACCATATATGCATGGGTTTATTTCTGGGCTCTCTATTTTGTTCCATCGATCTAGTCTCTGTTTCTGTGCCAATACGACACTATTTTGATTGCTATAGCTTTGCTATACAGTTTGAAATCAGGAAATGTGTTGCCTCTAGTATTGTTCTTTCTCAAGATTGCTTTGGCTATTCGGGATCTTTTGCAGTACCATACAAATTTTAGGACGGTTTGTTCCATTTCTGAGGAAGACATTGGAATTTTGACAGGGACTGCACTGAATCTGTAGATTGCTTTGAGTAGTATGGATATTTTCATATTAATTTTTCCAACCCACGAGCAAGGAATACCTTTCCATTTAGGTCTTCATTTTCTTTCATCAGTGTCTTATAGTTGTCTATCTTTTGCAGTACCATACAAATTTTAGGACTGTTTGGTCCATTTCTGAGGAAGACATTGGAATTTTGATAGGGACTGCACTGAATCTATAGATTGCTTTGAGTAGTATAGATATTTTCATATTAATTTTTCCAACCCATGAGCAAGGAATACCTTTCCATTTATGTCTTCATTTTCTTTCATCAGTGTCTTATAGTTGTCAATGTACAGCTCTCTCACCTCTTTGGTTAAATTTCCTAGGCATTTTATTATTTTTGATGCAGTTGTGAATGGGATTGTTTTATCTTTCCAATAATAGAAACACAACTGATTTTTGTATACTGATTTTGTTTCCTGCAATTTTACTGAATTTATTCTAAAAGTTTTCTGGTGGAGTCTAGGGCTTTTAATATATAATGTCATCTGCAAACAGAGACAATTTTACTTCTTTCCAATTTGGATAACATATTTCTTTCTTGCTCTGGCTAGTAATTCCAATACTATTTTGAATAAAAGTGGCAAGACAGGACATCCCTGTCTCGTTCCTGATCACTCTTGAGTATGTTAGCTGTGGGCTTGTCCAGTGTGGCCCTATGTCAATGTACATTCCCTTTATACACACTTTGAGTTTTTATCATGAATGTTGAATTTTGTCAAATGCATTTTCTGCGTCTATTGAGATCATTTTTATCCTTCATTTTGTTAATGTGATATATCACATTGATTTGTGGATGTCAAACCATCCTTGCACCCCCAGAATAAATCGCACTTGATCATGGTGTATGATCCTTTAATGTACTGTTGAATTCAACTGGCTAATATTTTTTTGAGCATTTTTATATCTACGCTTACCAGGGATATTGGCCTGTAACTTTCTTTTCTTGTAGTGTCCTTGTCTGGTTTTTGTTTCAGGGTAAGCCTAGCCTCAAAATGTTTGGAAGTGTTCCTCTTCTACGTTTTGGAAGAGTTTTAAAAGGATCGGTAATAATTCTTCTATGTTTGGTTGAATTCACCAGTGAAACGATCTGGTCCTGGATTTTTCTGTTAGGAAGTTTTTTGGTTACTGGTTCAGTCCCCTTACTAGTAATTGGAATGTTCAGATTTTCTATTTCTTCATGATTCAATCTTGATAGATTGTTTCTAGGACTTTATCCATTTCTTCTACTTTGTCCAATTTTTGGCATATACTTATTAATCTCTTATGATCCTTAGTATTTTTTTTGGTATCAGTTGTAATGTCTTCTCTTTCATTTCTAATTTTATTTATATGAAATTTTATTTTGCTTATGTAATAAGCTCTTTTGCTTATTCTGGTAAGAGAAGCTAAAAGTTTGTCCATCTTTTCAAAAGCCAGTTTTTAGCTTCGTTGATCTTTTCAATTGTCTTTTTAGAATTTCACTTAATTCTGCTGATCTTACTGTCTTTCTCCTAACTTTGGGCTTAGTTTGTTCTTTTTCCAGTTCCTAGAAAGTTAGGTTGTTAATTTGAGATCTTTCTTTTTTAACGCAGGCATTTATTACCGTAAGTTTCTTAGAACTGCTTTTGCTGCACATCCCTAAGTTTTGGTATGTTGTGTTCCCATTTTCATTTCTCACCGTCACACTTTGTGAATTTTTCAGTCTTCTTCTTGTATTTCGAGTTTTGTATCACTGTGGTCTGAAAAGATGTTTGATTTATGCCTTCTTCAATTTATTAATACTTGTCTTATGTTCTGAGACATGATCCTGGAGAATTGATCTATACTTTTTACTCCCTCTCCCTTTTTTTGTCACAAATTTATTTTTATCATGTATATCCACTGACAGATTATTGTAGTTATTTTCACTACTTTTGTCTTTAACCTTCATACTAGATTTATAAGTGATTTATCCACCACTATTACATTAGAGTAGTCTGGATTTATCTATTTACCTTTACCAGTGAGATTTATGCTTTTATGTCTTCCTATTACTACCATCCTGTTTCAGCTTAAAGAGGTCCCTTTAACATTTCTCGTAAGGCTGGTCTAGTGGTGACGCACACCTTCAGCTCTTGCTCTTCTGGGAAACTATTTGAAGAACGACTTTGCCGGGTATTCTCCATTGGCAACTGTTTTTCTTTCACCACTTGGAATATACCATGCCACCTTCTGGCCTGCCAAGTTTCTGCTTAAAAATCAGCCTATGATTTTATGGGAGTCCTCTTGAATATAACAAGTTGTTTTTCTCTTGCTGCTTTTAAGATTCTCCTTGTCTTTAATTTTTGACAATTAGAATGCGTCTTAGTGTGGCTCTCTTCGGATTCATCTTCTTTGGAATTCTCTGGGCTTCTGAGTGAGGGAAGATTTCAGCCATCGTTACTTTGAATAAGCTTTCTGCCCCTTTCTCTTTTCCTTCTGGGACCCTTATAATACAAATATTGGGCTACCTGCTGGTGTCTCCTAAATTCTCGGCACTATCTTTGCTCTTTTTCACTCTTTTCTATTCTTGCTCTAACGGGATGAATTCCACTTTGTTTGCTGATCCTTTCCTCCATATGACCTGCTCTGCCACCGAATCTCTCTATTGAATTTTTCATTTCAGTGACTGTCTTCTTCAGCTCTGGGATTTGTTTGGTACTTCATTTCGTTGCTGAAATTCTCACTTCGTTTATGCATTATTCTCCTAACCTGGGTGAGCATCTTTATTATTTTGAACTCTTAGGCCAATCATTTACCTCCATTTCATGAAGGTCTGTTTCTGGAGTTTTATCTTGTACTTTTGTTTGAAAAACATTCCTCTCCATTTTCCAAGACTCTCTTGGTTTCTGTGCATTAAAGAGCCACTTTCCCCAGTCTTGAATGGGTGGTCTCATATAGGAGATGAACCTTGTCATTCATCCCACGGAGTTCTTGGTTGTCTCTTAAATATCCATGACTGTCCAGGCTGTCATCTTTGTTCTCAGTGGTCCTCAGGAGTTGAAGATCTGCCAAGACCTATCGGTGTTCCACAGTGTGTGTGTGTGTCTGTCTGTGTGGGTTCTCAGCGAGCACCTAGGTGCAGGCTGATTGGAGGCTGGGTCCTCAGACAGCAGCTTTTAAAGTATGCAGAGACGTCTTTCAGATAGACTGGGAGATGGGTGTTTCTGCCTGCTCCCTCTGCACTGGGTCCTGGGTGGATAGAAGATTGAGAACTGTTTGTCTGCTACAGCCCTGTGGGACCCACAAACACATGCCCCAGTGGCCACTACAGCCAGGGACCACTGGGCAGTGGTCACCAAAGCCAGGGCACCAGACACGTGTGCATGCTTCTTCCAAGGAGATACCGGCGACCTGGAGTGGGCTGGAGGGAGAACCTGGAGGCAGCACCCACTGGCCTCACCAGTCTCCAGGGAGCATGAGCCTGTGGATGTGTGCTAAACGAGACGCCTGACCCGCAGGCTGCAGCTGAGACACACACAGAGGTCTCCTTCAGGGAAAGACCGGGGATGGAGGTTCATCTCCGCTGCCTCTGAACCAACCCCGGGGGAGCCGTGGTGAGTCCTTGCAAGCCCATTAAAAACTGCTGCTTAGCTGTGGTCTCGTGGGTGTCATGGATACAAGCCCTGTTGGCTTTCAGAGCTTTGGGGGCACATCCTTCAGGTGGAAGTCTTAAAAGGTGGACCGAACCCTTCACCCCTCAGGGAGGAGGTGAGAATTGTGTGCGTCCCGGCTGCGTCTCGCTGCACTGAGGGTGGTCCGTGTCCCGGCCTTCCCCACCCACTTCGATGTGGGCGTTTCCTCATCTGCTCAGCTGGTTTCTGAATTTCGTGCAGAGGGAACTGCTCCACGTGTAGCGGTACACTCAGTCCACAGAAACAGGTGAGTTCAGGAGTCTCCTGTGTCACCGTCTTGAGCTAGAACTTTAAAAAATGTTTTAATCTAATAATCCCAGATGTCAAAATATTTTGAACTCTCAATTACAGACATATGTACGACAAAAACCTTTTATGCTTGGGGAGGGCGTTCACACCCTTTAATGGCCCTAGGAATCAGTGCACTTGGCGCTTTCATTAGCCTTAACCATCCTGACGCGAAGTCTGGATTAAACTAAAACTCACAGGTTCTAGCAAGCTGAGTGTTCCCGAACGCTGGGACCAGGTGCTGAACTCCAAGGCCAAGCTGAAAGCAAACAAGAAACTGGAATTTCACAAGAATGACTCGTTCTAAATTTGAAAGTTTCTTAGATATTAAACTGAACTACCTCTTCTGGTTTGTTAAGGTAATTTATAATGCGACCTTTTATAAAGCATATTTCTAACAGATTTTAAGTGATTGCTTTTGGGAGTGTTCAACATCCAATATAAAGGCACAATCAGTTGTAGTATTTTAAAATGACATTTATTGAACACGTTAAAGTTTTTTCATGGACATAATTTTTATACCAAATGTCAATAAAACTCCACGTCATACAATGCATTTGATATTACAAAGGGATGAAAATTCAGAAGGGTATGCCTAAAACTCACTTGAGGAATTAGAATTTGAGGGGCATTGTGAATATGAACCAAGTTCAAAAGCAATATAATCACTGTTTTTCTCAATAGGAAATAAATGCCGGTGCCCACCACACTCAAGCGTTGTCACCAGGCAGAGGCCTGCACCCTCCACCATATCCCGGCTGCCAGCGCGGCCTTGGGTGAGTGGTCAAGACGCCGTAAAGAAAGGTCTGATGCTCCATTTTGTAGTTTGACACTTTCTGTGGTGACATCTGATCGAGACACTGGCGGGTAAAGGGAACTCAGTGCCTTTGAGATTTAGGGTTAATGTAATCCAGCAGGTTTGGGAGAAATGTGATTAAGAAGTGAAAGGGGTGTAAGTAAGGATAAGTGACTTTTCATTCTCATCCTAGCTTTATTACAGCTTGCTTTCAGAACTGTGTTTTGTAACACCTATATTGTTTACTTCCCTCTTAAACAGATCTTTTAAAGTGACTTTTCAAATGAGGGGAGAGGCAATATAAAGCTTCAATGAAATTTTTTTCCAGAAAGGATATTTAAACAAAGCTGACTGAACTAGGAGAACCATTTTCTTAATGGTCTAAATTTGAAACTATTTCAAATACATGTTTTCATACTTTGTGTTCTTCAGGCAGTGATATTTGAAAACATTGCTGACTTAAATGTCACAAAACTGATGAAGTAAGTGAACCTGTGTACATCATAGTCAATTCACAGAATAAAAATGTTCAGTGACTTGCCTGAAAACTAGTTAATTTAACAATACACTAGATCTTTCTCCCAGACCTTATCTTTAAAGCACAGCTATAACAGCTATGTCGAGATTTTAACAGTGTGTGCTTTCATTCCATTACCCTTAAGTTAAACCATGGCTGAAACTGCTCATTATCTGCCATGGTTCATAAGAAACAGAAAATAAACCAAACGTATCTACGCATTCTTCCCATGGCATCCCATTAACTAGTGCCACTGTTAGCGAACTTACTGGTGTTAGCTAACCATCGCATTCGCTGTATCTGTATAAAACTGGTTAACTCACTTGTTAGGCTGCTGCATAATTAAGCAATCAGATGTTGGTAGGGTTCACACTCAGAGGCTGCGCTCGTCTTAACTCTGACTGCCATTCTACAAATGTCTACCGTCAAATTAGTAAACAGACGCTTAATATGAGTCAGCAACTCCACTCCTAGAACACGGCCAGGAGCATCAACAGCATACATCCACACACAAAAAAATGTGCATCAGTGTTAACAGTAGCATAATAGCCAAAAGAAAAAAATGTCTATCAACCGATGAAGGCATAAATGAATGTGGTATATCCATGCAGTAGAATATTACTTGTCCACAAAAGAGAATGAAGCACTAATAATGCTACATCGTGGATGAACCTTGAACATTATGCTAAGAGGAAGCCAGACCCAGAGGGGCACATATTGTATGATTCCATTTATATGAAATGTCCACAACAGGCAAATCCAGAGAGACAGAAAGCTGATTAGTGTTTGCCGGGGGCGGGAACAGGAGCATGGACATGGAGTGATGGTTAATAGTTCCAGGTTATTCTGGGGGACGATAAAATGTTCTGAAATTAGATAGTGGTGATGGTTGTACAACTTGGTAAATATACTGAAAATCAATGAACCGTATATTTAAAAAGGTGAATTTTATGGTATGTGAATTGACATTTCAATAATGTTATTTAAAAAGAAAAAGTCAGCAACATGATGTCCTATCTCTCCCATGCTGGAGTTCAATTACTACCATTTCCAAATGAGCAAGAAGAAAAGGTATATTCTATTTTGCTAAAGAGAATCTGAGAATCTTGATACTAAGTATTGCTAACATATATAACAACTTAGAATAGTTTTGTTTCACACCCTGATCAATAGTGGATTAGCTACTTTATCTGGGAAAAGTTACAAGTATAGGTAGCTAAAGTCTGGAAAGAATTACTATAAGCTGGGATTTTTTTAAAGGAGAAATATTTGTCCCAGCAATAAGAAAATAAAAACTTACAAGGAACTGACCCATGGGTGAGAGCAGGTCTAACAAAGTTAACGTGTTCGACAAAGGTTTTCCGTGATGTTTAAAAACATTTACAGTACATCAAAACCCAGAACAAAAACAATCTTTTATGTTCTAGTTCATTCTCCTCTCCATTCTAGGTACTCTCCAAATGGCATTTTTATGGTGAGCTGACGACGCCTATCCCTTCAGAAGCCATCAGTGCTCCTCCAGCTTAAGCCACAGACAGTTACAGGTGACAGAAGGCATCTCTATCCATAGCAGCTTGCTCTATGTCACCTGGGACAACACTGTAAGAGACATAAAAGTTAAAAGAATCCAGTCTGCCCGTCACTCTCTGCCTGCCACTTCTGTTTGTGCTTTACAGAATACTGTTGCCTGCAACATATTCCGGACCGTATCGATGGCATCATGAGTGTGTGTGCACGATTGCTTAGAAAGAGGAAGAGAACACCAAGTTTCTTGCACTCTGTTCACATATAAAAAATGGAAGACAACTGTCAGTTTTCAAGGTCTTTGGCTAACGTTTCACGGATGAATCGTAAGGTACGTTGGTACAAAAAAGCATCCTTTTTCTCTGGCTTACAAATGTTCAAATGGTTAACATCCACAGGAATTAGATCTCCAATGCCTAAATCTGAAGGAAACAAAAATGTCAATAAAATCTAAATAAAAATGTAAACTTCCCCGTCAATGTTGAAAGAGGCTAAACGGGTTGTTCTAAATACTGATTCAGTTATAATACGGAACTTAAGATAATGGAACCTGAAGTCTGATCACACCGGAATGAGTTCTCAGGAGGTATAATTTATGCTTCTTTGTATGTGTTCTGGCCTTCTTAATAGCGAACAGAGCCTGAGCACTATCTTCAAAACTTTTATACATCTGCAGGTTATTACTAAATTATTTCACTTTTTCTAAGGTTTGTATTATAAACTTGCTAACGAGCTCCCGTGTCCTGATAAAAGCATGGAACGGCTCACGGAGGACCCGTTCTACACCCGGACCGCTGCGATCACTCCACCCAGGGGAGATGATTAGTGCCTCAGAGGTTTGCTTGAGCCTCACAGAGCTGCCTACATGGAAGTGACAAGAGGTGCTAGTGGTGCCAGCTAGGTGAGGGAGGAAGACAAGCCTGCTGGTGACACGAAAGCAGGTTCAGACAGTCATGTCACTACAAGCAGCTCGCCCACAGTATTAACTTTGCTTTTAGCTTCCAGTTTTGTTTAACACCCAGCAGCTGTTCCTTGACCTCTTCAAGTCCCTCAGCTACTAAATAGTAACTCCACACCCTATGACGTATGGCTTTGAGGCGAAGCCTCTTTGGGTTCCACTACAGAATACTAAGACTTTTACATTTTATTTAGATAATATATAACGAGGTCAGGACAAAACTTGTTATGCAAACCAAAGAACCATCTGGAAGGTGCTCCAGATACACACTGTCCGTGGCTGCAAGTAGCTCTCTCTGCGTGGTCGAGCGCGACCGGGGCGGCACCTGACCCAGCCTCAGGGGGGATCAGAAAAGGGTCTGGTACGCAAGCCGCATTCCAGGGAGTGAAAGGTGTGGGTCGCCTGCTACGCAGGGCGCGCTAAAGAAAAGAACCAGGACTTGGGCCCCGCCCCCGAGAGCCTGTAATATGCACCCAAGTGGCAGATGCCGCTCGTTTCCCTCAACTTCAGGATTGTGAAGAGACTGTACTTTTAACACTAGCTTTTTTCCATTGAAATCTTAGTCGCTTAAATATTTCTCGTTTTTCTTCCATATATTTACTAAAGGTTCTTTAGTTGATTTTTTTTTTTTTTTTTGAGTTTCTACATGCGGTTATGTCTTTATGTGAAATGCCCCTTTTAGTCTAGGTGACAGAAGGGCTTTGTATTTGTATTCTCACCTTAATACAACAAAGTTCAATGCTGATGACTAATTTAGAGTTAGCCAATTAACCTTTAACATCTTATCAGTTAAATGAAGGAGAGGGGTAATGCAAAAGTTACATGTTTGCAGAGAAATTTTATCTATGGCTGAAATTAATAACTGGAATCTAGATCTTCATAAAGCTCTCCTAAAACTGAAAAACTGAATACACGAACTGACATTTATGATTAAATGCTAGGTACCACCAACCCGGCCAACAAGTTTCAAACGAGCGAGTACCTGCTGATTCCACGGGAACCACGTGGAGTTTGATCATGCTACCAATGGAGGTTGGCAGTGTTTCTACAAAATTCAGCACCTGGAAGTTTTTGTCTTTAGCAAACTCCAGAAAATCATCCTGTAGTGTTTTAAGTGCAGGAGAATCTGTAAAATTATAGAGAATAAGATTATGGCAAGTTCTTTTTATCCAATTCATTTTAAAAAAATGCATTAACCTTCTAAATTTAGAGAGGAAATGAGGGTTCTGATTCAAGATGGTGGCTTAGTTTATCTCATTCCTAGGAAGCCCTTAAGGTGAGTAAAAAGCTAAAACCACCGAGAACTGAGAGGCAGCCTCAGGTGGAGAGGAAGCAAACCCAGGGCAGTTCGGTGTGTGGGTCTCAGGGGTTCCCAGTGTGCCCACCCCTTTCTGTCCCGCAGCCTCAACTATGACAGGACAACCAAGAAGCACCAGCTATTCGAGGAAAGCCTGAGACCTAAGAGGCAGACCCAACAGCAAACAAAACCCGAGCACAGGAGAAAGAGAACTCAGGGAAGCAGCAGAGAGGAACTTTTTAAAAATCCCCTAATTAGTATCTTCAAATGATTTCAAAAGATAATGGACCAAAGAACAAGGAAGAGCTTATGGAAAATAAAATTTAACATAAGGTTTAGAAGATAAAGCAGAACACAGAGAAAGGCTAGCAAAAAAAACTGGCATATTAAGGCTCAGGCCAGAGGCTCCAAATTCTGATGAATGGGTATTCTAGAAAAGAATGCTTATTAATCAAATATATAGTGCTTTATAGTTAATACGCTGAAAATCTTAAAAGCTTGTGTATATTTTAACAGTTGATTTTCCAAACTTATGGAAACTCATTGGTAAGATTGAAAACATATAACTTTTAAGTTTTTAAATAATTAATAGTAAAATTTTTTTATATTTGAACAAATGGCTTAAGAACAGAAAGGGAAGGTACCAAAGAAAAAGTCTAAACTAAAAATTTTTCATGACAGTCTAAACACAAGTCATATACAAATAATGAGATGAAACAGTCAAGTTAGAAACTGCCTTTTTTCCCTCCGTAACCGATGACAATCCCAGCTTCCTCTGTGGCAGAGTGTTACCCTTGCTGAGTTCCTTGACTTCCAAAGCAAAAACAAGGAGCGAACGTTGACAGAGTACTCCGCCAGACGCGACCCGTGGTGGGGGACGCTATAGAAAATCATCCCTCTGGTGTTGTTTATAACGGTGCTCAGTTCTGGCTTCTGAGAGGCTTCTAGCAGCATCTTTTTGACAAGAAGACCTAGCCACAGAGAAGAAAGAAAACAGTGCCAAGGCTATTTTTCTTCCCTCTAGTATTCTTAACTGCACCTCCGCCCGCCCCCCCCCACCCCAAAAAGGCAAAACAAGAAATACGGAGAGATGCTTTCTTTAAAAAGTTTACACAATAATTCTCTGTAGTCCAATAAACAAGGCCTTAAAATATTAACACTTGATAACACTCATCCTCTAGACTAGAGGCTTACCTATAAACAAGTAAAATTCTAGACCTTGTATCACAGAATGTGCTGTCCCACAGAAGGAGTATCAGGCACTGCCATAGTGGTGTCCATCAATGAAGCAACTAAGCAGCAGCCAGCCCCCCCAACCTACCCCCAACAGCCCACAGATGCCCACTCCACAGGACAGTTCCAACATTCAAGAAACACACAGTCCCGTAAAGCTCATCCACCATGGGAAAAAGCTTCTATGGGAAACCGCACCTAGACAGACACCTTCTGTCTCCCCACACCGGGCCTGGAGCCAGCAGCGAAACACAAAGGTCATACAGATGGTGACACTGGATCTCTGAGGACACAAAAGGTGACATCTACCTTTCTCTCAGCAAAACACTTGGACTCGGCCAGCAGCCCTGAGCTTCATCAGATAAACTAGGCAGAGGCTGCAGGAAGACCCTCTGAAGGTGGGTGGTGAGAATTTAGAGCTGGACTGGGGCGAGGGGCAGGAGGAGCGGATGTCGTTTAGCAAGCAAGCACAGGGACCCGCAAAGCGACACCTGCGGGACCCGGGGAAGCAGGCACGAAGGGGCTGCGGTTGTGGGCATCAGAGCAATAATGGACTCTGCAATGGTTGGGGTGCAAGGAAGGAAGGGGAGCCCTGTGACCCTCCAGGAACGTCGAGGGATCGTTACAAGTCAGGCTTGTATAAGCCACGGACTGCTTCTGATGTTTATTCACTAAGTTGTCAAACTCACATCCCTATTATATGGTTTGTTACTAGTTGTCCCCTTCTAGAAAAAGAAATAGCATGGAAGGAGAGTAGTAATTGAAAAACCAGCCATAGCCTAAAACATTAATTTAGCGGGGAAAAGGGTCACTATGAAGTAAAACAGCTGCAATACCTCAGGTTAGTCCCGAGGGCTGACACTACCCTCGCCGCCCGCATCCCAGAATGAAACGCACTCACCGCCCATGCTGTGCGACACCCAGATCACCGGCCTGTCTCCGACGCCGGCCGCTCGGAGCTTCCTGAGAAGCTCGTTGCTCCGGAACGCGATGGACTTTCTGAACAAAACGAAACAGCAGGTGTGACAGGCTATCGGTCCGCCACCGAATCTTGCTACCCACTTTTTAAGGCAAGAACTTGTGTGTACTGGACCAATGCTACCTTTAAAGTCAGGGATACTCCCTATTCTCTCTGCTTGATTCCTGCAATCGCTTGTTCCCTTCTTCCAACAGTCACAGTGAGATAGCTGGGAATATCTCAAGCCCAAAACGCGCCGTTCGTTCACTAAACGAGCATTGTCTGAGCACATAATATGTGGCTGGCAATTTTCTCAGGTCAAACTTAGGTCTCCCACCAACTGCCAGCACCTCTTAGGACACGTGTTCTTTCTCATTACGTGGCCTGACAACAAGACCATGTCTCTTTTGTGAGTTTATCAAGCCAGTTGTCATTGCCATTTAGCCACTGTTTGTATTTACGCTGCAAGCATTAAGCTTTCGTCACTTTGGTTTGTTACTCAGAAATACCAGAAAGCTGTTAGAATCTGAATTCAAAATAAGTAATTTTCAAACATTTATTTATCGCTAACTCCTCCTAGAAAGATAAGGTTAGGTTCATTTTTCCTAAGAAAATCCTGTCTGTGGCATCCGAAGATAAGACTCCCCTGCACCCCGGAGGCCCCCTCGTGGCCTGGGCCCTCACCCTCCCAAAGCTTCTCGTTACCTTTCCATAGGGCACCTTGCCCTCCAGTCGCTCAGGCTGGTGTCGTACTCCACAGATATGATCCGGAGACTGGGGCAGTCTCTTGCTAACCACGTCTATGTAAAAGTAAAGGTATGAAAGAACATACGTAAATTTCCGCTGCCCTGATTATTTCCTAGTAATTAAAATTCATAACTAAAGGGCTCTTGTAATATTGACTAGTTAAAGATCACACTGCAGTAAAGTATAAAGGTGACTAGAAAAACAATTTCAGCATTTTATCTCTTTATGTCTCTGGTCACAAGGTGGGATTGATCTTTACAGCATAAGCCCAATACAGGTTTCAAGAGAATATTCTCAATTTTAATCTGCGACAGCCAAAAGCGGGGCCTGTCTCTGGAGTCTAGATCAGATCGGCTTTCTGAAAGCACTCCATAGAAAGCTGTGCTCTCGGGACAGACCGCGTGTATGACGCTTAGGGACTTGGCCTGAGAACTCAGAGATACTAATTACAGTCGCGGTTCTGTCTCTGGATCCACGATCTGTTGTCATCTCCGTACTTCACTGTCACCAGAGAACACAAACTGTTCTTTCTGCTTGATAAGCCTTTCTGAAGGTGAATAAGCAGCAGTGGGACAAAGCTTTGGAAGCTATTAACAGAGTCGCAGCATCAATTTTCACTGAGCTTTAGATCAAGTCAATGAATTCACCCCAGGGTTAAGGCTCTCTGAAAGAAATAATGTCAAAAAAATCCAAAGTATTCTTCAAAGTCTTTCTATTTTTATAATTATTAAAATCATAGAATGAGCCAATTATTATGAATGTATTATTTACTATATTACATTTTTAATGAAAGTGAACGATTACTGGCCCTTGCCTGTTTTTCACTTACTAGAATATTCTTTTAGAAATATAAACTGTACTCTCAATTACACAACACAGGGTGACAAGCCCAGCTGTTCATGTAACATACCACGAGTGTCCCTAAGGGAAAGAAAAACTGCATGGAAAAAAAATCCCAGTATAAAAGAGAAAAATAAACAAGTCACAATGAGGCCCCAACAGCCAGTGACATGGCAGTGTGTGGTGGTGACGCTGGCTAAGTCGGCCGTGTCCTTACCTTGGGCCAACACGTTGTGTACCTGGTTTCATCCTCTGAAACCTTTTCATTTAAGACCTGGTCATTGTCCTGCTGGCGCCACGTTTTGAATGCTGCTCCCATCAGGCCATGAACAAAAAGGACATCTGCTTTAATGGGCTGACTACGCGGGAGAAGCAGAATAAACGTGTTACCGTTTTGATAAGAATCTACACAGCACTCTCTGTAGATGGTGCTTAGCAGCTTTATATGACACATAATAAAAATTAGGGAAGCTTTACGAGCACAGGTTTGCTAAAAAAAAAAATCCTGTAAGGAATTTGGGCCAAGACATGTACAGTGTGCTTCACTGCTCTCTGAAAATGGAGACATATCTAGCCAGGGGGACCAACCAAAATCAATGAAGTGACAGCTGTCATGTCAGATGACCCTCCAAAGATTTCCGTGAGGATATCCCACAGATCAATAAAAGTATGTGAAATGTTAGTTAAATAAGAATATGCTAGTATAGTTTCAAAATCAGCATGCGTGAGAGATTTTCAAAAATTTGGATAATGCTTTGGATTCAAGGATAATACTTATCAAAAATCTTCTGAGATTTATTATTTACGCCTACAGCACCTAGTCTTCTAGGTGGTCTCCCATCCAAGTACTAACCAGGCCCAACACTGCTTAGCTTCCAAGATCAGACATTGGGCTTGTTCAAGGTGGCATGGCCGTAGACCATGGACTGTGGCTCCTCTGGGGCGTGAACCTAGCATTTTCAGCGTGTAAAGCAGACATGCTAACAGCTACACTATGGAACCACATCCAGAACAAATGATATTTTAAAAGAACATATTCTTTCTTTGGATATGACATTTAAAAAATAAGTAAATAGTATATTACTTGAAGCTATTTACAGCATACAATTATGCTACACATATGAAATATTGTATTAATAAACTGAAATTAACCAGGCAATCCATTTTTCAAATTAAAAAAAAAGGTGCTATTTTCTGAGCTATTATTTTAAAGTGCCTAACAAAAATCCAAGAAATATGTGACTTTTTTACTGTGGTCCTTTCTGTATTGTCTCAGCGATGACACAACTAGAAAGAGTGACCGGAAATAACGTTAAGATGGAACATGAGTTAAGTTCATTACAACTTACTCGTTCCAGGGCCTGCTTTCATACCTGACATAAACCTTCTCCAGTCTCTTGAGGTCTAGACCCAGGCTAATCTGATTGCCTATCTCCTTCCCACCCAGACCGACCTCCACAATCCAAATCAGTTTAGATCTACGTGAAAATGCCACGAAACGAAGAAACAGGCATACAGAGTTTAAGTGTGACAAGTTATAAAAGGGGCACGAATCTTACTGAACATAAGCCCCTGGTGTAAAATAACCCTGATCATTTAGCCAGTTCCATACTTCTGCGAGTCTGCAATTCTTCTGAGGTTATTATGGACAAATTGTTTCAGTAAATAAGGTATTTGACTTACGTAAATGTGCAGAAATAAATTAAAATGTTAAGCCCTCTAGGCTCTCCGTCCCCACGGGGACAAAGCGGCCTTCCATACCTTGTGCGATACTGGGGGTGCAGCACATACACGCCATCCTGGTATTTTTCTCGCACGGTCTCTCGGTCTAGGTTAGCCAGGGTTCTGGCGGCATGCGAGGCCTCCATAATGTCCTGAGACTTCATTGCTTCTGCCAGTATGGAAACCCAGCCTGGAGGAAGGAACACACCTCCTGAATGCGGCACTAATCGCTCAGACTGTCATCAAGCGGGGAAAGGGCTCGATCGGCTCGCTGAAGTCGGGGAGGCCACCTGCTGCACGGAGGGGAAATGGAAGGTTTGAGAAGTGGAGAAGGTTTAACATAGTCCTGCTGGGAACGTTAACTGGAGGACATGGTAGCCGAGACGGCCTTTAACCTGTCAATCTTGTAAGCACAGTGACAACCAATCTGCAATGACTCTATGCTCAGCCATAGCAAAAGCAGATAAGTAGGTTTCTTCTAGTGTTGGGGTCTTGACCAAGGGTGTGTTAGAAGGATAAGAGGGAGAGAAGTTCTAGGGCACTGGCAACGACGTTACTGAAATGACGGAACCTACGCTGAGTCGGGAGGGAGGTAAAGACTGAAGAGGACTCACAGCTGGCAGTGAGTGTGAACTAAGGTTCCAGAACAAGTTCGTGGTTGAACTTAATAGAAGGAGGTATAGACATAAAGAAAACTGGGCTGAGTTATTCCCTTCTCTTAATGACTCACTGTCGTGATGACATACAAGTTGCATTTCTCAATGTAACACGGGAGCACAAAGTGGGACATGAACTTTGCATGTCCTTATGTTTCTTGTATTAAGCAGGATTTTGATTGGATTTCTAATAATAAAAAATGTGACCCTTAGGTTTTGAAATTAGGACAATATCCTGAATGTTATCGGCATCGCATGCCTAAACAGTTCCAGGTGCTCCTCACATTTCACATTAAACCTGATGAGTCTTGTTTTCTACGTCGTCTCAGTGCTACTTACTTAATGACATGGTGACAAGTTTGACAGTTTTTAGAAATTAGTCTAGGGGATATAAAATTAAAAGAATAAAGAGGACTAATGGTTAGGAGGAAGTAGGGAGGTCAGTGGACAGCAGATTCCGGCAGAGAGGAAAACCAGTCACTGTGGGAGCAGATGCAACCAGAAGCTTGAGTGAGAGGAGGGTGTGCTCGGAGAGGTGAGGTGAATTACTGCTTTTTTTAAGTGAAGTAGTTTCAGGAAATGACCAGGTCCAAGGTATAGCATGGCAGTGAGTACTGGACAACTTGGGAACAGAGAAGGAGGTCACAGAAAATGAGAAGGTCAAGGAATAGAGATGGAGAGGCCAAGGTGTTCAGTGAGCTGTCTGGTAGATACTGAAACCAACCAATAGGACTGGGCTTCGCTTAAAGGAAGGTTTCCGTTAGAGAGAGGGTGTCGTCGTTTTTTTTAAATACTGATTTTTATCAATTCTCTACCCCTTCAGTGAAAATGAAAATAGAAATCATCCAAAGCACAGGGAGAAAAAAGTTTTTGAAAAGAAGTGAACACAGTCTCAGTGACCTGTGGAATGGAATCGAGTGATCTAATAAACAGAACTGAAGTTCCAGAAGGAGAAGACAGAGAAAAGGAACAGAAAAAGCTTTTGAAGATAGACTGGCTGGAAAGTTTCCAAATTTGATCAAAAACATCAACCCATAGATTCAATGAGCTCAGCAGACCCTGCACAGGATAAGTATAAAAAAAGACACCTAGGCGCTTCACAGTCTAACTGCTGAATAGCAAACATAAAAACCTTAAAAGAAGCCAAAGAAAAAAAAAGACACGCTACATACAGGAGAACAAAAGTGGTATAAGGAGTGACTTCTCATCGGACAACGGATGCCAAGAGGGGATATTTACAGTGTTGATGACACACTATCAACACAATTATTTATCCATGGAAAATGTCTTTCCCTGGATAATAAAATAAAGGTGAAATAATGCGTTTTCAGAAAATGGAAGGTCAGAGAACTTGCTGCCAGCAGATCCAGATGATTAGGCTCAAGGGAAGTAACATCAGATGGGACTTTAGATACATAGAAAAGAAGAAAGAATACCGGATGTTACTACAAATATGTAAGTAAAAAACTGTTTCTTATATTCTTTAAATATCATTTGACTGTTAAAAATAATGATGTATCATGAATCTGTAACATGTAGGAGTAAAATATAACAATACCACAAAGGTGGCGAGGGATGCAAAGTGAATTACATTATTGTAAGAATCTCACATTATATATGAAGTATCACAAAACTAATTCAAGCTAGACCGATAAGGATACAACCATTAAAAAAAATACCGAAACTATTGTATAAAAAAACAAAAGAAGAAAAGAAATACAATACAAAAATACTCAAGGAACCCCCCTTCCAAAAAAAAAAAAAAGCCAGGAAAAGAGGAAAAAAGAAAGAAACCAGAGGGGGGTGGGGAAATAGGAAACAAGAGCAAGATGACAGACACGACCAAACGACGACAATAATTACATCAGATGCAAAGAGACTGAATAATTAAAAGAGAAAGATTATCAAACTGGATTAAGGAAAAAGATCCAACTATGCACCGTCGATAAAAGATGTACTTTTAAAGTCACAGAAAAATGAAAGCAAAAGGAGGAAAAAGATCAAAGATATGCAATGCAAACAGCAAGCGTAAGAAAAAAACCAATGTGAGTATTTTAATATCAAAGTAGACTTGAAGTATTGCCAGTGATAATAAAAAATGAACACGTCACGGGAAGAAAAACCTAACGGAACTAAAGGGAGAAACAGACAAATTCACAATCACAGCTGAAGAATTTAATCACCTCTTAGTAATTCGCAGCACTAGACAAAACTCAGTGAAGATCTAGAGAAGATTTGAGAAACAGTATCAGCCAACTTGGTTTAAGCGTTGTTTACAGAGCACTTCACTTAACACTACACATACTTACACTTATCCAAGTGCACACAGAGCACTCACCAAGACAGACCGTAAAGTAGGCCATCGACTGAGTATCAGTAAGTTTCCAAAGATTAAAACACAGGGTATGTTCTCTGAAGACATGGAATATTAAATTAGAAATCAGAGACATATGATATCTAGGAAACCCTTAATACTTGTAAATTACAGAACACACTTTTAAATAACCCATGAGGCAAAGAAGAAATCACAAGGGAAATTAGAAAACATTTCAAACTGAATGATGATTAAAATACGAAATAACAAAAATTTGAGATCTGCATCTAAAGCAGGTTAGAGGAAATTTGTAGCTTTAAATATCTGTATTAGCAATTTGTAGTGATTTTAAAATATGTCTTCAAATTCTTTGACGCTATTCTCATCAAGAGGTGAAGAGGTATCCCCCATAATCCCCCTCCCTTTGACCATGGCCCAGCCTTAGTGACCAGCTCCTAATCGATAAAGAGTCCAGGCAGAAGTTACTTCCAGGGCTAGATTATAACAGACAAAAGAGCTTATACCTGGCTTTCTCTCAAGGCATTTGCCCTTGGGACCCAACCGTCACTCTTTAAGGAAGCCTAAGCCACATGGAGAGGCGCATGTGGAAAGGCGCCAATGGCCCGGCCCCGCTGAGCTCCGTGCCAATAGCCAGTAACAGTTTACAAGCCCTTTGAGCAAGCAATCTTGAAAGTAGGACAAATCCTCTGTCCCACAGCTGAGCGGCCCCAGCTGATGGTACAGAGAGCAGATATAAGCCATCCCTACTCAAGCTTGCCCTAATGTCAGATTCATGAGCAAAACACATGGCTGCTGTTTTAACCATTGAGTTTTGGGGTGGTTTGATACATAGTAATATACAATTGAAACAAGAAAAAGGGTTAAAATCAGTAATCTAAGTTTCCACTTTAAGAATCTATAAAAAGATGAACAAATAAAACCCAGAGCAAATGGTCTTTTATAGAAGTTTCTGAACAAGACACTCTTCTGATCAAGACACTCTTAAACGTAAATTCCTAACTTCTAATATGTGTATGCGTGAACATAAGCATGTACAGTTGATCCTTGAACAATGAAGAGGTTAGGGGTGCTGACCGCCCCCATACAGCCGAAACCCACATAAAACTTTTGACTCCCTGCCAGTTTAAGTTGTCCCTCAGTGTCTGCGGGGGTTCGGTTCCAGGACCGCTAGCAGATACCAAAATCCGCAGATGCCCAAGTCCTCTGTATAAAATGGCGCAGATCAACGCATAGTCGGCCCTCTGTACCTGCGGACTCCAGGCCGCGATCTACAACAGCACAGGTGCTTGTTGAGAAACGTCCGCGTGTAAGTGAGCCTGTGCGGTCCAAGCCCATGATGTTCGAGGGTCAGCTGCACATTGCACATATGTGTGTGTATACTTATGCGTATATCTGTGTAAGTATATTGTATATATCCCCTAGCCTTTTCCACCGAAAAAGCCAAGAACAAAGACACTTCAGGAGCAATAAGCGCACTTAGCACCCAGATCTTGGTCTCTAAAAATGATCCATATCAAAGATATAAACAATTAGATGGTCATCGGCAGAAACTGCTCTCCTGTAACTGTCCACACACTGTTTACCTTAGGTGTAGATTATCCACGTATCTCAAGCGATTCCTTGTGTCACTATAACAACATGCTCTAAGGACCCATAACTAAAAACACTCTTCACTCTACTGAAAAATTAATGTATCATGTTGGGCGGAGGTAGGAGAACACAGGACAAGATCCAAAATACTCAGTACATAAAGTTGTTACCTGATTGAACGATAGGAGAATGAAGATGTTCATTCAAAGCCATATTTCCAATGATACGCATTATATTTCTCTGTACTTTAGGGCAGTCCTTGTGAAGTTGGTACAGCCTCTGAAGCAGTTGCAAGCCTCCATTTGCTTCAATTTTATCACAATGTGTGGATATCTAGTACAATAAATTAATGACAGCTCACTTTATGTTGTACGAATTCACTAACCAGGTGACACGACATGCTGACGGGGCAGCCAGGTGGCTCCTGCTCAAGGACAGACACCCAGAAAGACATCCAAAACTCTCTGCTTATTTAAATAAATATACAAAGCCCTATCTACCTCGAAATTGTTTCAAAATCACTGAAAAAAATAAGTCATATCTCACCAGGACTTTTGAAATTTTCATTCATAATGTTCTTCTATTTAGCTCTTGATTGGATATAACCTGACAATGCCATTATTACAGAATTGATTCAATGTACAGTGATTATTTGATTGGCTTAAAATTATCTTAAAACTGTTCTTTACCCTTGAGAAACTTGCCCCAGGAACTCCCACAGAGATAAGTAACATCTGCCCCATGCAAGCCCACAGGTATGGGGATGGCCTAAACTTAGGAGGTGAAAAATATTTTTTTAAGAAAAAGATCAAGTAAAAATAAAAAGAAAAAGGGATATGAATTTTTAATGAGAAAGAGATAAAAGAAAGCCAAAGGAAATATGTGTATTAAGGTAAGGCAGGTGACCAACAAGTCATTATGGTCCGCCAAGGTCACCAGTGTGGCCTTTCCTCTTCCTATCACTAGTTTTATTCACTGGCATGACAACATGTCACACGTATGGAACAATTACTATTCTCTAAATTTTTATTAAATTTTATCTTGTTTCACATGCATTTAAAAGTATACATCTTAGACATACATTGAGACATGTAATAACTTGAGAGGCTTCTGGAAAAGTACCTATTATGGTCCATGTACTGGACTTTCTAAAGATACATCTACTGTTTCAGCAACAGGCTGTTAAGTCGCAGAAACTCAAGCTGGCTGTCCCACATTCCCGTCTGTAGTCCAACACTAAAGACCAACTGCTCTGTGCCTGATTCCCAGTTCCGCGGGTGGGCACTAAAGATGACCAGAGGGCACCAAGCTTTTGAGCCATGTCTAATGGTTTCCAAATTAAACTGGAGTGTTTAAATCTCTAGGATGATGTTTCTCACGATATGGGATGAACAACCTGCAGCAGCCTCACCAAGGATGCCTGTGACATTGTGACATATGCGAATTCCTGGACTCCACCTCACGTCCAGTAATTAAAATTGCTAGAGGTGAACAGGAAATGTGCATTTTTAATATGATTCCTGAGGAATTTTTATGTATTAATGTTTGAGCACCACAAAATTTGTTACTTTTTTCTTTTTAAAATCAAACTATGATCACAATAAAAAAGTTGCCGTAATGCCAAAAAGTTTAAAAATCATTGATGCATGCTATGGTTAAAATGTGGTTATTCAAATATTTCCTTTTTTTCTATCTTGCCATATCATGGACAGATATTTCAGTGGAAATTGACTACCTGGTAACTATTTGTAAAAACGATCTGAGAAAGACAGTGGCAGACGGCAGAACTCAAAGGTAAATGCTGTATTTAGACAACAGGCTGCTTTGTGTGCAATTAAGATTAAATCCATTTTTAGAAATACTTAACAAAAATGAAATTCGTATAATGTTGTTACATCATGATTATCGATTTGAACAACTAAATGGGGGGAAAAGCAGAAATTTAAAAACAAGCCAAAAGCTTTTGTCTTTTTTTAATAAACAAGGATAACATCCCTTGAATGAACCTGTATAATTTTTTCAACGTGATCATAAAAGCAAAGCGCATTTGACAACGTAAGTTACCTCAGAATGTTTTACTAAAGCGTCTAAGCAGAACATTTCCACTGCAGCCGAAGGCACTTCTCCAAAGCTCTCAGCATAAGGAAGGCCGTTTCCTCCGAAACACCATAAGCCGCCCTGCAAGCGAGAGAACCAACTTTTACTAAAAAAGTGACTAATATTTTTTGTTGGATGAAAGAAAATCTCTGTATTTATACAGTGTTAGAAAAAAACTAATACGTAGGACTCTAAAATATCATGCAGGCTGCTGCTTACTAGAATAGAAGACATGGGATTATTCCTAGGAGAGCAATCTCCGAGCCTTAATTCTTTCCTGTGTTCTCTCATCTAAAAGTACAAAGTACGAATGCACAATTTTTAACATCTGAGAAAAGCCAAGGATCGATCACAATGTTCCAGTGTCAGATTATGCTAGTAGATTCTACTTAAAGTCTATTCATTAAAATAATAAAAATGAGAAAAAGCATTATTGAAAAAAATTAAAAGCAATGATGATAATGATCATTGACCTTTTAATTCTTCCCAAACTGAAATTCAAATTCATATAGAAAAATAAACAAGAATTAGGAAAAGTATTAAACAGAAGAGCAGTGGGACCTAGTCCTAACAGATAATGAAACATAAGAATAAATTGGGAAAAGAAAATTTCAACCCTTACCACGGATTAAGGGCTAAGTTACCAATATGCAATCATCTCCTACAAATCAGTAAGAAAAATACCAACATTATGGAAAAATGAGCAATGGTCTTTGCACAAAGTTCTTAGGAAAAGGAACATAATGCCTCTAAAATACATGAAATGATGCCTGATACCACTCAGACTGAGAGGCATGCACCGCCAAACTACCAAGAAAGGGTGTTTTTCATCCGTCAGATGGGTGGGGAGGCAGGCACCCTTATCACCCTGCTCCTGGTAGTATCGACAGGGCTACTTCTATGGAGGAAACTTATGACAACTGTCAAATTACAAGGGCCCATGCCCTCCGACACACAGCACACAGACAAGGTGATACATGGAAGTTTGTTCCCTGCAGCACTATTTTTAAGAACAAAAGACTGAGACCACCTAACTTAATGCCCATCAACAGGGGGTTGGTTAGATAAACGATGGCACTGTTGTACAGTGGATCACTGTGTACGAAAAATTTTGAGTCTTTTCATATACTGATACAGAACAATCTCCAAGATAAACCCTTAACTGAGAAAAAGAAGGGGCAGAGGAGTATATAGTATGCTACTATCCGTATAGAAGAGCATGTATAACTGTGTGTGTGTGTGTGTGTGTGTGTGTGTGTGTAATAGGGTGGGGAGATGGAAGAAAATTACTACCCTATCTCCTTTCGAAGTGCTTCATATTTGGGTGAGGGGTCATATCTTCGTGATACGTGCTACCTGCTGGCAAAAGAGATCAAGTACAAGGTATGTCTCTCAACAATGTATATAGAAAGCCCAAGTGTTTCCTATAGGAAATATAATCCATAAGTTTCTACGTGTTGAGTTAATTTACAGGGTCTACCATTCAGTGAACCTAGTAAATGTTCAAAATACTGCGCTGCTCTGTAATTCTTACTACGCCTTCCTCTCTGGTGTAATATTGTTTTTCCAAGTTTAAACATGCTGGATCTCAACGAGTCACACGATTTAAATGGGGGATGAAGAAGGGGTAATCACCGGAGGTTACCCCTCCTCTCCCAAGGTCGAGGGTAAAGAGTGAGCTGGTGGGCTGTGGGGAGGAGAAATTTTTCTTAAAGATCCACCACCCCAACCTGCCTCCCCTCACACCCTCAGTTCACCTGACCGCTTTCTAACCTAAATGCTCCAAGGAAAGAAAGGGGTGAAGGAAGAGAAAAACGATCTGGGCTTCTCGTTTTTCTCGATCATTCTGTAAGTGGGAGTCAAAGTGCAGCTGCAGGTTCATTCTGGCTGCTGGCAAGGCTTGTGCACTGTTTCTGAGCTGGCAGACTGTAGGGCAGTGAGAAGCACAAGCAAAAAAGAATAAAAAGGTGTAAACTCATGATGTGGTCGCATGTATTATGTTCCAATTCCTAACACGAAAAAAAAAATTACTGCCGGTTTATCACTAGATTCAGACATAGAAGATTAAAGAAATTCATGAAGATTTAAGAAATGTCTCACATCAAATTCTGTAAGTGCAACTAAAAAAATTTCTTAAGGATCAATAAAAATGCATAGGAAAAGGTGGAGAGAGTGGTGATGTTAAACACAATAATAAAAGGTAAAGTATAAAAATTAAAAGGCAACAGTAACAAAGCCTAAAAGGAAATGTCAATCAAGTAAGTTACTGAAGAATTTACATCCATTTTATACGTTACTTATAGGTAAGAAGCAAAGCATTTTATGGATAACTTCCTTATGATAATAAAATTGAGACACAACGTTACTATGAGCTAACGGTATGTTTAAAATGCATTTCAATACGTTTATAACAGCCAAATGACTTAATACAAAAGGGATATTTTCTTAACCATAGAATCAACATTCCAATTAAACATAAGCCTTAGTTACCTCGATTTTGTCTTTGACATACAAAAATACTTTGATTCATAACAGAAATACGCCATTGTTATTTAAGTATGTATAAGTTGTGTCCAACCTAGCTCTCTCGGGAATGTTATGGTTATCCCTTCATTATTCAAGAAATATTTATTGAGAGTATACTGTGTATGAGGCACTAGGGAGGGTACGGACTACTGGAAGAGAATAAGAGAATTAAATAAATAAACGAGCAAATAAACATATAAATTACAGAATGAGATCAAGGCTAGAAGGCAATAAATAAAATAAACATTTGAGATCAAGAGAAAGGTCCCTCTGAGCAGCTGACATGCTGAGATCTGAAGGACAAGAAGGAGGCAGCCATGTGACAAGCTGGCGGCAGAGCATTCCAGGCGGAGGGAACATAAGTAGATACACACTTAGCAAGTTCAAGAAATGGAGAGAAAAATCCAGTGTGGCTGCAGCACACGGAGCAGGAGGGCTGGGGGCGGGATGGGACAGTCAGGGAGGTGGTGAAGGAACAGATTCTGGCAAGCTGAAGCCAAGGCCTGCAGAGAGGTGTGTCACCTGACAATAATGACCTGTTCTAGAAACGCCCTGTTTTATCTCTGTTACTTACACCTGATGAGCAGATTTACCCATAACCAAAGTCGGGAGGAGGGGAGGTGCGGGAAGTTTGCAGATGACACAGATGAGTTCATTCCAGCAGAAGGGGTCCTTGACTGCTCCACTGTGCATGCTGGGGGACTGGCAGCACCCAGGAAGCCCCCTGCACAGTCTCCTGTTCTGTGTAACAGCCCCGCACGTTTCCAACCCCTCTGGCATTAAAGAACCGCCATCCCTCAACACTGCCTGCTAGCCGCTTTCAGTCACGACACATCGCTGCGCTCACACAGACCAATGCCAGCAGCACCTCGATGCAAGGGCCCTAGACCCTAAGGGCTAAGCTGATTTCAGAGACTTTGGGAAATTATAGGGGAAGATGATAATACTAGAGTTGCAAGATTTTAGCTGGATTGTCCTTAAGACAAGACCACAAAAGCTTTGTGATGGCAAATCATTTCAGTGTACTGTACCCATTGCTCTCGTGACTGGGCAGTTTGCCACATTAGATCAAGAAGAAATCACAATCCAGTATGTCTAAACTTCCGCATCCCTGGTTGCTTTCCTAGGCTCTAGGTCACAGGTACCCAGGGTCCCCTAAGAGAGGTTCAAACTGGGGACACACTGACTGTCCAGATGGTAACAAAACCAAACGACTAAAACCTGGATCCTGACATCGGGAAAGACTCAACTTGCTGGTAACATCTGGGACAGAGGGAAGACCAAGGACCACCCCTCCCTGTCCCCCAACCTCCCACCAGAATTGTCAGCAAATCTGCAGGCACACATCAGGTGGCTGCCAAGGTTCCAGCTGTGGGAGTAGTAACAGTAAAGCGAAGAAGTGCTTCCGCTCCCACTGCCCAAGGTCTCCCACTGAACAGAACAACAAACAGAGAGAAGGCAGATCATTGCCAGGGTGGGTGGGGGCGGGGACGGAAAGTTTTGCTACAGCTTCTAATTGTGGGTCCCTTTGTTTTAACACGTGTAAGAGCTAATCTCGGGTGTTTCTTCATAAAAGGTCACAACCTTAGAGCTCTGCAGTTTGTGCAAACTAAGTGGGCTTAAAAACAATGTTCAATCTCAAGCATGAATTTTGAACCTGGGGTTACCCCTAAGGGTCTGGGGTAGACAGAATTCAGGGTAGGGAGGATATAAACTTGGGCGGAAAAAGTTACATCTTTCTTTTCCTAACTTCTAAGTAAAATTCTGCACTGTATTCGATTACAAACAATGACAATGAAGCACAGTAAGTAGCAGTCTGTGTGACGCTGGCCGCAGCGGAAAGCACAGGTATGTTCCTACCACATCTCATTTGCTGCAGCTCACTGAAAATAACGTGACCGCATCATTCCTTCAAACGCCAACAGCACGTTCTCACTGGTGACCCAGAAGCAACACTGCTGTCCAGTGTCCCCTAGCAGCCATTATCGGAGAGCCACATACGTACAGCCTAGTCCTCGGTTTATTGCAGCTCACTGAAAATCATTCCTTCGAACGCCAACAGCATGTTCTCACTGGTGACCCAGAAGCAACAGTGCAGTCCAGTGTCCCCTAGCAGCCATTATTGGAGAGCCACATACGTACAGCCTAGTCCTCGGTTTAACGTTCTTATTCAGTGAAGCAACAATAGCATTCACACTGACGCATTTGTAAAAAGCAGACTTTACACACTGAATCGAGCCATATGAAACCGCCATTCTCCCCGACCCCATCCCTGAAAGAGTCTTAACGCGATGCCAGGAGCAATGAGCTGGTTCAGCCCAGGACTCGGTTTCTAAAAGCCTCAGCCAGAGAAGGAACCAAGGTTTCCTGAAGAATCAGCTGATTCTGGGGCTTAGCAGGGAAAGTTTAAAATGAGCCTGGATTTTCTAAAATCAGATAATAAAGAAATGCTCAGAGAATAATGGAGACATTTCCATAAGACACGGGAGCCAACGAAGGGCCTCCACGGTCACATGAGACACTCTGAGTATGAAAGTGATTAACAGTGAGAGACT